AAGAGAGAAGTCTGACGTGCGCCGGTGGCTGCTGACGTCGATGGAGAAGAGAGAAGTCTGACGTGCACTAGTAGCTGCTAACGTCGTTGGAGAAGAGAGAAATTGACGTGCGCTAGTAGCTGCTGACGTCGATGAAGAAGAGAGAAGGTTGACGCGCGCTTGTAGCTTCTGACGTCGAAGAAGAATAGAGAAGGCTACTGGAGGTGCCTGTTTGACTGAAGATCCTTGACATTTTTTGTCTTTTTCTTGGATCCGGGCAATGCCCTATTTCCTTCTTGAAGGGGTGAGTTGTAGAGGTCTTATTTTCTCTTTCACTACTTCCCCTCTTGGCTTTGCTTTTGTGATGATTTACTTTGGATTTTTAATGGTTCAATAGAAGAGAAAGAGAAGGGAGGTTAATGATTAGAATGAGTGATTTTAGAGAGAAAAAATAGGTTAAGAATTGGTGATGGAAAAAAAAATTGGGTCTGAGATTTTGATATGGTGAATTGGAGAGAAACAACAATCATTTTTTTTTTCCTTTTTTTTGAGAAGATAGGATGATCTGAGAGATTTTGTGAGGAGTTGGGATTTTTTTTTGAAGAACCATGAAGATGACATGAGAGAAGTTCCTCCTTTGATAGTTTTTTTGTGTGATTTCAACAGAGTTTTTTTTCTTTTTTTTTTCATTTGAATGAAGAAGTTGATTTAAGGATAAAGAAGGAAAAGAAAATAGAGGTGAATAGGGTGGAGCCGCCGTCGCCGAAATTACCGGCGGCGGCGGTGGGAGCAAAGAACTTTTTTTTTAGGTCACCAAGAGCGGTGGCTCCGATACCATGTTGAAATATAATTAGATCTAAACTTGAATCCATTGATTACACATAGATCCGCTATTTATAATAGCTACAAGACCATGACCTAATTACGAGCCCAACAAGAATGAACCCGTTAACGACAAACCCTACTACATTCTTTAACATTTACAATTTTAAAATAAACTGCAAAGGCTATTATTGGATGAAATAGAATAAATTGCTCCTAACGATACTCTCCATGTTCAGAAATACGGAGTAAAATTTAAGGTGAAAATCAAAAGGTAAAATGATTTTTTTTAAATTCTTTCTGCTTGAAAATGTATAGAAATAAAAATATGGGGTGCACTATTTTATTAAATGATGAATGAAAATACGTGGGCAAATAAAATAAATCGTAACACTTGCTGGGAAATATTAAATGGCTTGGACATTGTAGTCCAAATTTTCTAGATAATTGTGAAAATAAGTCAAATCCATAAATCCTGCCCAACATATTCAAAAGGAAAAAGATACTTTTCCTCCAACTTTAGAGAAATTGGAGGTTCAATTTTGACATTTTGGGAAAGCCATAATTCATGCCTGTTGTGAAGAGGAAGGATTTCTCATCTTCCTCAACAAGCCTTGAGACAAATTTATGTATTATGTACAAACTCTCCAAATATATATCAATAAAATCTCCAGCTATCACTACTTTTTTCTCTATGCACCTGGAACTTCAATTTTCCCAGGATGATTGTCCAGATTGGAATATGTAGAAACTAACTGTCTCACAGTCCCATATTTCAGATTCACTGCTGCTTTCCTCAAAAAGAACTGCCTCTTCATCTTCACTCTCATTTTCATACTCCTCAGCATATTCCCTGCACCGGTTAATAACATCAGGAGCAGATTCAAGAGGCTCATCATCATCTGTCATCCTTTTATTTGCTCAGCTTTCAATGCTCTCTAGATCACGCAATCTTCTGTTATTTGCCAGCCAGAGGTTCTTGCAAATACTTGATGGTCCCATTTATACTCTAAAGCCTGGTTCACAAAGCATAAAAACCAGAGAATGGCTGAAGAAGACTACTTAATGGTCCCATTTATACTCATTGGATTCTACTGGGTTTGTTGTTGTTGTTAGTCCTCTGGAAGCAACCCCGAAAAGCACCTCAATAACTTCTCCTCTTCAGATTTTGAGTCACAGAGCGCTTGGACTAGTGCAGTGATGGTAGTTTTGTTTGGTGAACAACCGCTATCTATCATCTCCTGTAGAACTCTGATTCCCTCTTTCGGATTACCAACTTTGCAAAAACCCTTGATCAACATCTCATATGTAAACGCATTCGGCGCGCATCCCTTGTCCACCATGTCATCCCATAGCCTCCCGGCTTCAAAAATCTCTCCGTTCTCGCACATCCCGGCAATCAGTGTGTTATACATCAAGGCACTGGGAGTCGAGCACCTCTTGAGCCGATCAAACCATTTCTTGGCATCCCAAAGTTTTCCGTCCTTGCATAGATAGTGTATGAGTGTGCTTGATATTGCATCGTCTCGGGTGCAATTCTTTATCAGCAACTTGTTCCAGAGATTGCACGCCTCTTGGATCTTCCCTGCTTCGCACATAGCATCTATGACACGACAACAGAGTGTTTCGCTGGGTAGATACCTGTTCTTGAGCATGTCATTGAGCAAGCTGACCGCTTCACCTGGCTTCTTCCCTGCACACAATGCATCAATCATCACTGCATAAGTTACATAATTTGGTTTGACACCATTGCCCTCCATCTCATCCATCACCTTGATGGCATTCATCAACTGCCCTTTCTTGACAAATCCATCCATCAAAATGGTATATGTAGTGGCATCGGGGAGCAATCCTTTATAAAGGGTCTCGTTAAGCATTCTCTCTGCACCCGCCATATCGCCTCTAAGCACATACCCACCTAGAATGGTTGTGTAGCTAACAACATTTGGAACTATTCCCATTGCAGGCATTTCATCAAGAATTGAAATTGCAGCATCAATATCACGTTTCTTACACAAAGCCTTCAACAAGATATTACATGTCACTAAATTCGGTACAATGTCCAACTTCTTTCTACAATTCTTAAACAGGATGTGGACCAAATCATACTCTTTGTTGTTAACCAAAGCATTCAGCAATGCATTAAAAGACTTCACTGTCCTTTCGGTTCCAAAGTTTTTTATTTTCAAGAAAACCTTAATGGCATGTTTCGGTTTGCTTGCAACGCCATAGTTCCGAATGATGGTGACAAACAGTTCTTCAGGACAACTGATTTCACTTTGCTGTAATTCAGCTAAAACGGTCTCCACGGAAGTGAAGGCACGGGCTCGACAGAGTTTGCGGATGATTTGGTGGAAGGTTTCGTAATTATGGGAAAACCCGGGGTGGTATTTACCGGCATGGTGAAAGATACGGAGTGCCAAGTTCGGGTCATGTTGTTGAGATATAAGAGAAATGAGACGTTTATGGGTGAGGTTCCGAGGCCAGGGTAGGATTGGTGGAGTGACAGAGAAAGATCGGAGTAGTTCTCCCTTGGATTTGATGGTGGAAAGGTGGTGGTAGCCCGGGTGTGTCTTAAAGGGATCATCTTCGTGATTGGAAGCATCAGTATAAATAGTGGCTGAAGTGATATATTTTATAATTGCAGTGGAAGCCAGCGGCTGGAGGCAAATGTGGGGAATCCGGCTAATCAACATGACTGCAATCGGATCGGCCACCTTCAAAAACTACATAAGGTTATGCTATAAAAGAGATCATTGACAAAGGAAGAAAATACAGCTAGGTATTAAACAATAATAAACTTATCTTCTTTACTCAAATTTATACTTAGGTGACACGAATTTTCCGACGGAACCACCAATGCATATTGATGATTCCTTTCAGACAGAGGAGGCCTGAGAAGCATGAATTCTAGCATCATAAGATGTGTACTGGAACTGTTAAATAGATTTTGAATGAATGAAAACCAACAAGACCGAGCGGAAGTCGCAGTAACCGCAGAACCAAATTCCCAGATTCCAAATTTATAAATTCAATTCAACATATCGAAATCCCAAATCCAACTTCAATTGATTGAAAACGAATACTAATCTACAAATTAATTTTAACGGGAGAAACCAACACTCACCTCAATTGATTGGCGAAGGAAATTGGTCCGGCAAATACTCCGGCGAAGTCTTTAGTCCGCGGACATGGCCTTCCTTCTCCGGCAGGTTTGTCGCGCAGGGGACCAAGAAGAAGATGGTGCGGCTAGTATATACGGAGTAAATTATACACACACTATAATTTCTCGTGGATGAGACACGGTGTTTGTAGGGGGAGCCGCGGATGACGGCGGTGAGCCGTCGAGCGATTTCTGGTGGTTTAGAGTTTAGACCATACTCGGCCTTCAGCTTTTAGCAGTTTGACGGTTTTGCCCTTTTGCCAAGATCTCACAAAAAAAACTGACGCATTATCTAATGAAGGGGTTTACCTTTAATATTTTTTGTTAAATTTATATTATTCCCTCCGTCCCATATTTTGTTTTTCATTTAATTTTTTACGGTCTCCAGTGTAAAATTTTAATTGTCTCTATTTATATATCTAAATATAGAATATAAGAGTATAATACTTCAAAACTACATTTTGAAATAAATTACTAATTGATATCACAATTCATTTTACTTTTTCTGTAATTTAATGTCAAAGTTTTAAAACTTGAACCACAAAAATCAAACATCTAATAAAAATAAAGGGGGTAGAAAGTAACAAAATTCCAATCAAAGTATAACGGTTTAATTGAAAAACATGTTCACGAACAAGATTAATAGTATTTTAAAAAGTCTATCTAAATTTAATATTTATCTTTAAAAAAATCAAAAGCAATATGAATCATTAAAAAATTACTCTGTATTTGTTCAAAATGCTAACAGTATTTAAAAATTTTGTTCCAAAATAATTATTTATTAATGTAATTAAAATTTTCTCCTTTATAAAATATTTCCACTTTCCCTATTCCTAATTAATTCTCTTATTTTGTCAAAAGAAATCTTATTTTTTAAAAAAAATTGTTTGATTTGCATCAATTTTAATCGCACAATTTTATTTTTCTTAAATTTCATTAAAAAGTAATTGTAAAGATTAAATATAGATGAAGTGAAAACTAATTACTTAGTCTTACTATTTTGCATTCTTTTAATTTAACTTTTATATTTGATTCAATATTTTAATCATTATTATCTGTACTTATAAACTCAATATTAAATAAATCATTTAGAAATTAGATATCTTATACTTATATTTCAAGATAAATATATTGATATGACATTTATATCATAGTTCATTATAATTCTTTTCATTATATAGTCTAACTTTGTACGAAGTATAATTTGACCAAAAAAACGAAATTCTTAGAAAATTTTGACTCCAAAGTCAAAATTAACTTGGGTGCAGTTGAAGGGAGTGGGGGAAGGTGTTCAGGTTGGGGCGAGGTGGGAGGGTTCACTGGGGGATTAAGAGGTAGAAACCATCAATTTTACAAACGGGGTATCGTAACGATCTCGGGTCATCCGATGACAGGAGTTACAATGTCATAGGAACCCCTCCGACAATTATATAATGCTTCTAGTCATTGATTCCAATAGTTATGTTTGTTTGAGTATAATAACATTTCTTCTTAGCAATCATATAAAAACGTGAACTTTGTTTGAATTGATTTTTTAATATGATACCAAAGTCTTGTTAACTTATAAATCAAAGTTTGAATAGCAATATTACTCACGGTCAATCAATACAAATCTCATCTACACGTGAGGAAATATATTAGTGTAAAATAAGTCATGTGTGTATAATCACATGTTTAAGTTTTTGATTGAGTTGATTTCTCAATAGCTTTACAACATTCCTAACAAACAAAACAATTCGACTTCTGGCAATATCAAAATTGATAATGTACCCAAACAAACATAATGTACATGCACTAGTTAACTACATAATATGAACATTTAAACAGTATCTCGCCGCCGGAAAACAAATAACGAACCTCTGGAGCCCTTCCCCAGCCTCATCTTCTCGTCGACGTATAAGATCTCCAGTTTCACTTCACTCTCCCCACCATATGCCAATTCTAGCCCCCCTATCTTAATCTCTGGGGACTTGAAGATGACTTCAATCCACTTTTCGTCGAGGACGTTCAATTTTCCTGTGTGCATTTTTTGTGAAATGGATCACGAGAAGCCATATATAAGCCCGAGTAACCGAACAGTAAAAAACTCAGGCAACAGCTAATATTTTATATATATTGGGAAATTATTACTCTAACCACATGGATGACACTAGGATTGACACTATCAATGACAATGTGGAGTCAACCATGGTGTCATTCGTGGTGTGAGTGTAACATGGTCCAATATGTTTATGTATAAAAAAAACACATCATAAAAGATTAATACCAGATTCACATCATGTAACATGGTTACATGGGTATTGTCCTTTTTGTTATTCACATCTCCGTACACACCCCTCCCCAAACCCTAATTTTTGTGGAATTTTACTGGGTTTCTTATCGTTGTTGTAGTTATACTTATTTCTTAACAAAAATAAGGAGAAACAATATTCAAGCATTTGAACAGATACATACATGTAGTTCTACTAAGGAATCTACGAGCTTTTATTTATTTGCATAACTTGTTTCCAACTCACTTTGATTCAAATCCATTTCAGTAGAGGGTCTATTGGAAAAGATCTGCGTACATCTTACCCTCCCCAAACCTCACTTGTAGTTTTACCCTAGATTTGTTGTTATGTAGTTCTACCAAGGTATTTCAATAAATTCATCATCTACAATCGGATAATATACATTCTCAAAATCTTTTCCAAATACATTAGGCAATGGCACTCTAAAGATGACAGTATCTCACATCCCAACAAACTCATACGACCTTCCAAGAGTTCATTTTGCTACCCCCGTCTCCCATTTAATGTTCTTGATTTGATATGACATATAATTCTAGAAAACGAGAGTATGTGATTGTGATTAATTTAGAAAACAATACAAAAATACGAATCACACATTGTTTCCTTGATGAATGGAAGAAAGAATATTAGAAGGGGAAGGGAGGAGTAGCTATACCATGAGGCCATCCAAATAGCCGAAACCACACACCCCCTTATAGTAATATCCCATAAGAAGATTGATATTGTCAACATGCACAAGATTGGATATGACCAACAAGCAACCAGACAATAGAGAGAAATACTTATGCTGCCTTAAGATACCTGTCAAAGAAACTTCTCCATCAATGACTCCCAGAATGGAGAAACAGACCTTGTTTCTCACAATGTCGGGGGCTTCAAGAACCTGAATCATTTCTTTTGTTTTGAAGAAAAGGCGGCCAATTGCGCTCCTATAGAGACCTCCTGGTGAGGTGGGATTTGAACAGTAGACTACATCCCATTCTGTAACGAATTTCTGAAATTAATAATAGTTCTTTAAATTTCTAAAATTTAGTATGAATGAGCAACCAAATAACAATTAAATCAATCTACGAAGAGGTTTCATGGAACCAGAAGCTATGAGCATTTTATAGCCTGTTTTGTAAGGTTATTTGGCTGAATCTTCTATGAGAAAAAACAACATTCGGTAAAACCCATTTTAGCCTGATAAGTCAAAAGTTACTTGTTCATAAAGAAAAGAAGAAAACCATGCCATAATTTACCATCAAATAGAAACTTCATCTCCATACATATAGACTGTAAATTTAAGTTTATTGGGTTATCCATAGTTCTTACTTATAGGTTACAAAAAGGTTAACTCCACAATAGGAGTTACCATAGACAAACCCCCCTAAGATCTAACATGGTTTTTTAGGGGATCAAGTCCAGACTCTGTCCAGAGGATAGTTCAAATTTATAAATAAAAAAAACCAAAAAAAAATCTGCTAAAAACTTTCAAAATATGATTTCATTATATTACGAGTAATATGCAATGCACTTTAAATTGAATTGATGGTCGAAGTTTGTACAATTTGACTAAAAAAACTCAAAGTGCAGGAATATAATCGGGGGTAGTTGATTCAATCTAGCAGTAAACCTAAGGAAAATATCACCTCCGAATATGAGAGGGCAGTTAACTGGTTTCTCCACGCAAAAGCGCTCCAATTCACGAACCATCTCCGCCACCTTTCTGTGATCTTCTCTGGTCAGCAGAACTCCTCTATCTGACTCCAAAACCTAATTCAATTGAAATCGTTAAACTCGTCTCAGTTAGATCTGACCGCCAAAAGAAACTCCAAATTCATAAATCAATGGTGTAAGCTGATGGATAGTAGAGGGTTAAGTATATATACTTTAGAGAAAAGGGAATCGACGTCAACGTCGGGCTTGGAGACCGCCGGAGACGCCGCAGAAATTGCAGATGCATGAGGCGTTCGCCGGAGATGACTGAGATGCTGGCGGCGTGGATTCCTCGTCGGGAAAGCGGCGGAGGAGGAGACTCTGACGAGATTCTGAAAAATGAGAGGGGTGGGAGTAAAGGAGGCCATGGCTCAGCAGCTCAAGGTCCAAAACATTTTGTTTTTATTTACTCCGTAATACGGAGTAATAAAATTAATTTTTTTTAGAGAATGGAACGGCAGACTGAAACTTAATTGTGAATTTTATCCCCTAATATTTTTAAAATATCATGTCATTGATAACTTAATTGTGAATTTTATACCCTAATATTTTAAAAATTTCTTTTCATTGATTATATTTACTTTTAATATGATTAAATTTCATTCATTTTCTTTTGTCGCAAATTAAGTTCCATATTAATACTTCTTTTGTCACAAATTAAGTTCCATATTTACCTTTAATATGATTAAATTTCATTCTTTTTCTTTTCTTGTTATCATTATTTTTTTATAAAATAATATAATAATGTCATTTCTTATTTCGTAGAGTTTTTATGTAATTTTTAACGTAAAAAGTTTATATTTATATTTTGCTCTAAATCTCTAATACACTACATTAAAAATAATTTCAGTCAAACATCGTAAATCAGAACATGCGATTGAAATTGGACGGAGAGAGTATTATTCTAAAAATTTTATTACATAGCCTTAATTTCACTATTCGTCTTTCGTTCAACATTTTTAACGAAACTCTAGCATCTGTAGTATCCAGGACGAATTTCAATATCTAAAACGAATCTAATGTTCGTTCAACTTATTCAACCAACGTACGAAATAACTAGAGTGTAACGAATCTGTTGTTCAACTCGAACGAATTTGAAACAAATCATTAATTCATTATGTATAGCTTTTGAATGATGAAATGACTTTTTTAAATAGATGCTCCCTAGATAATATTTTGCCCAACATTGCTTCTAACTAAATTGAACCGTACTTTAATAAGAATTAAGCTATATATACCTCAAAAATTATACTCATTTTGTACTCCAAAAACATACACTAACATTTTATACTAGTGTAGCGATTTAAAATGATAAAAAATATCAGTGTAATTTTTTTGATCACACAAACATTTTATCTCAGTGTAAATCATAAAGATGTGGTGCATCTCTTTTAAGTTCGAATGATATATATCCCTAACATGATTGCTTTAATAAACAAGAAAATTAAGAGTACACCAAAAGTGTACCCTAAAAGTACACTAAAGTTTCTCCGCCCCATAAATTTGGTGTTGATAAAAAATAACAATTAATGGATAATAGAAGTATAGTTAAATGTATGTTGAACAAATGGATACACCAATGTACTCCTATTCTCCTACCATCACCCTTTAATAAACTATACCCTCCGTTCCAAATTATAATTCTTATTCACTATTTACAAGGTCAAACTTCATTCACTTTTTTTTTATATTTTTGTTAGCAATTTGATAAATTAAAATATTATTGTCACTACTAGTTTTGTAAGTCTTTTGATGTAATGTTTTAACATGTATTTTTTATTTTTTAATTCTATACCATATGTCATATAAAATGATTTGAAAATAATTTTAGTCAAATATCGTAAAGCAAAATAAACATTATAAATTGGGACAAAGGAAGTATTTATTTTATCAAAAAAATCCACTACGTATTTTCTGGCAAAAAACAACTTTGTTTTCATCAAAAAGTAAAAAAAATATAACATACAAAAAGAATCAAAATAAGAACTTAATATTTTTATTTTCTAAATAAGAATTCACATTGACATAATGTAACACTATATATGGATATTTCATAATACTTTTTTATGATCACAATTGATACTGTAAATACATTTTACAAAAAAACTCTTATTTTGAAAATAAAAACATAAAACTCATATTTTCGTATATTTTAAATATTTTATTTCAACTTGAGTTTTTTTCTCTAGAACAGTTGTGTGCCACACTCAAACCATTCAATAGGTGAATAAGTGAATTGATGATTCCACATGAGGCAAATAGAAGAGAGCTTTGAGAGGCATGACAAGAGAAGTGCAAGTCCAAAATCAAATGTCCTCCTTTTGTTCAGGAATATCAACTCTACAACAACCCTCATTCTTTCTACGTCTAATTTTAAAATTCTCTTTTCCCAAATCTTTATGTTAAAGGATAATTTATATTGTTCTAATTTACGCTGACAATTAAATAATTAATAAACACAAACCATACAAATCATTTTTTAATAAGTTAGATTATTTTCACACAGTATACAGTTTCCAAAAGTGACCTCTACAAAGCATTGAAAACACTCCTTCCTCATAGGCAATTAAGAAGTTAGAACATTTTCACTCAATAAACAGTTTCCAAAAGTGAAACCCCTACAAAACATTGAAAATACTCCTTCCTCAAAGGAAAGTTTTTGCATAGTCCTAAGATCCTTGGTCAATTTATTAACCTTAATGCATTAGTATTGTAAAAGACTTGAACCTTTTGCACAAAAAAACACCCAATTGCAGGTCTATAAATAGAATGAGAAAGCTACATTTTACATCTGAACCTTAAAATCACGAAACAACAACTCCCTATCAAACACTTTCAAATGTACTTTCAAATGCATGGCAAACATCTTTATCAAAGTTAGCTTTAAAAGGAGCGTAGTATTTGATGAATCATAATCCAACTTGACAGATATTTAAAATTAAAAAAAAGTTTGACAAAATAAAGTACAGACAATTATTGTTTGTGGTCTAATGAGACAGGCAATGACATAACTGGTATCATCTGTGGTGTAAATATATATTATCCAATCTATATCTTTGATTTGCAATTCCTTGACATCATATCTGGAAACTTTAATTTCATTTGAACTCTAGAATTTCAAATATAATGCATTAATGCAGTTGGGTTATTTAAAAATAAATAAAGAGAAAATTTAATGAAAGAGATGAAGTATCGTGAAATCACTGTGCAGAAAACATGCAAATGAAAATTTAATTGAAGACATTAATATTGGTTTACTAAAAAGGGGGGAAAGGAATGCCAAGATGAATTCAAACTAAAACGGATTATGAATTTCAAATGTGGACTTTGGGTGTTATTAAATCCACCGATCTCTGGAAGAGATGAAATACCTGCAAGCAGGAGTGTTTGAAGCCGTTCCTCATCATAACTAATATATGTTAGAAACGAAATGCCGCTATGATTTGAAGAGTGGCGCGTCATATTGCCCGCAGACGCTCAAACAAATAGAAGAAGCATATAGCGAAGTAGTAGCCAGCTGGGATCCACAATCATTCAAAAATTGAAGATCCGGCAGCAGCGTGCCACACAAGAACAAAACCACCTAGTAGTAGTAGTAGAACTGTAGAAGTAGTAGAGTGTAGAAGCAATTTGAAACCAAACGAATGAAGCAGTAGTAGGTACCAGGAAGACAACCTCGGCACAAAAAAAACAGAGAAAACAATTCAGCAGTGTCTTTTAAAAAGGTTTTCGCATCAAGAAATGTTACAACCATAGATCCAATGTCACTGGATAATAATGATAATAAAGGTCATAAGGCAAACATAAACTATGAAACCAAATAAACATTTGGTATCAAAAGATAGGACAAGTTAAACCAAATCCATCAGCTGAAACAAAATAGTTGACTCCACTTACACAGTTGTGATCTAGTAGTAGTTCAAGCAAAAGTAGAAACACAACTCTGAATGTTTTGGAAATAGTCTTCCACTTTTCCCCGCGCACATCCTAGCTCCTGCTTCTGTGTCGATCCCTGAGACCATTTCTGCAAGACAATATGATCACATAAAGAGAAAGAGAACAAATTATGTTTTCCTTAGCCTGCTTATAAAAACAGCACCAAAATTTTGATAGACAACTCCTAAAGGCAGTGGAAACCTACTTTATTAGTGTATTGAACTTATTAACAAAATGGGTATTTCTTTTGAAATATCAAGTATGACACAATTTTTATAATTAGTTTTTAAATAGTCTCTTTTATGAGGGAGCAATCTTGACAATAATAGAGCCCCTCCCCGCCCCGCCCCCTAGCCCATCACAAAAGCCAAAAGAAACCCTGAATTAATAACTTTTTGTACAAAGTTTAGCATTAAAATTCTACTTCCATGTTTATGTAAAGGCCGGTTTATTTCTTTCCAAACAAACTGGAAATTAAGTGTAATGATAAAACTGTACAAATAACCGTTCATAAATTGTGCAGCTTGTATCCTGATTGAGTTGACTAAAAAAACATAAGAGGGGGGAATCCTGATGTAGCAGAGCAAAAACTCCATACAGAATCAGTTTTATTTAATAGTAAGCAAAAAAATCACCCGTTAGCATAGGGAGCTTCATCTCGCCCACGATAAGGCGAACGGCTGTAGCTACGTCCACGAATAGGAGGAGACACACTGCGCCGTCGAGGAGGAGGAGATCGACCCCGTGGGCTGTAACTCCTGTCATAGGAAACAACAATATAGAGAAAAACATAGATGTGTTATGTAGAAATCACATTTTCAACACTTACAATACCAACGAAAGTAATGACGCATCAAAATACTCCCTACGTCCCACATAGATGACTTGATGTTCCATTTTGATCTATCCTAGGAAAAAGCTAGTTCACTTCCTATATTGAAAATATCATTTATTGTTTACTCCTAAACATGCTTCTAATTCAGTGCATCTTGGAGAACTATCTAACCAGCATAATTTAGACATAGTATAATTGTAAAATGTGTGAAATTAAAATAGCCTTGGAATTAAATGTTTTTATGAAAATAGTTAGAACTTTCATTTCCCTGATTCATGAGATAAATACAGTGTAATACAATTGCACGATGAAGAGAGAACAACTTTCTATGTGAGATGTAAAGTCTCAGAAAATGTACTGCATGTGTGTTTTACATGTAACCTTAATACTCACCTCCGACCATAGCTTGGGCTTCTGCGATATCTGCGTGGGCTGCGACTACGGCGCCTTCCTCCACCACCTCCACCGCCACCACGATTGCGGCACTCCCGAGCAAAATGACCTACTTCACCACACTCATAGCACTTCAAATCAGAACCACCACCGGAGCGCCCGCGTCCTCCTCCACGTCCTCCTCCGCCTCCACCTCTAGAACTGTGAGAAAGTTCAACCCTCCATCCATTCTTACCTGGACAAGATATAACCCACAATTAACAAGGAGATAAGAACCAACATATCATTTATTAGTAGTAGGCGGTAAAAGATAATTGAAAGTACTTTAAAGGGAGAGTTACTTTTTCAATGTAACTAGAAATCTGAGCACCCAGAAGAGAGATTACATGTTTACGTTCATAACACTTAGACTAAAATAGGTTCATTTAGGGTACCAAGGGTCATACCATCCACTCCATGAATTGCATCCAATGCATCTCTTGAGTCATCAAAATCGATAAAAGCATAGCCAGGTGGCCTTCTTGCAACCCAAACACTATAAACAAATTATCTGAATGAGATAAATGGGCAAAAACAGTACACATGCAGTGGCATTTAATTGGAATTTAGAGTATGAATCCTGTTCATCACTTCACACAATAGACATAACTATTTCACATATTCTGTAAAAAGGTAGTAAGTGAAAAAAATATTCATTGGTGGCTATCCATTTAGTGCAAAAAATTATTTTAGAAACATGGGCAACACAAATTAAATACAACAATCAAGGTGCTAAGTACATCAAGGTCTATTCCACAACAAGTCTCAGGCCAAGCTCATAATATGTACTATATTCAAACGCAGTTGCACAGACATGTAAATGTCCACACAATCACACCCATATATATAGACACTACGTTTTACCTACTTCATGTGAAAATTGTATATTTTACTGATAAATACTGCTTAATCTTATATAATGGAACAGAAACAAAACTAGACCAATTCCTCAAGAGCATGCCCAAAACATTATATTCAGAAAATCATGTCGGATGAATTGAGCGAGAGAAAAAAAAGAGGGAAGTTAGTTTTGAATACTTTCTTATCACTCCATAGCAACGGAACTCATCCTCAAGCTCAGTTTCAGTAACCCTCGGGTCCAAGTTTCCGATATATACTCTCGACATCCCCAATCAAGCACCTACACAGATACATCCATTGTAAAGCATGGTGAAACCCAAGAACCAAACATGTCTCAAAACCTCCCGCAGATCCTCGCTGATATTCATATACGAAGTAACATTTTTCAAAACAAACGATTACATAAATCGAACGAGATCTTGTTCCGATCATTAGAAAAATAGCGTTTGACGATCCGAAAATTCATCGTCTGGAGTCTGACGACGGGTACAAAAAAGCACGGATCGATAAATTCAACTCCCCGCGTACATGAACGAACCAATTATGCATATCAATGAGAAAAAAATTGATGAAATCCATAGATGAACAGAGGTGCGAACCTGGAACCCTGACTTGAAGTAGAAAACCCTAGCCCGCGGCGCAAGAGATAAAGTGAGATGGTATGGAGAGAGGCTTTAACAGTTTAACGAGGGTGGAAATTCATAATATAGACAAAAAGTCTTGTACTTCGTCACAAATTCTGCCTTGTTCCTAATTTTTCGATAAAAAAAAAATCTTAATTAATATTTAATGGTCAAACAAATGGCATCCTAATGGTAGTGTAAAGAGTCTAAAATAAAGTAATATCAGAGTCACAAACAAATAATTCATAGAAATCAAAAAAAAAATTTAACATCTTTCTAGAAATAAGATACACTCAAATAAAAAAATATTTTAATTTAAAAACCACCAAAGACAAGTTCTGAACTATTTATTTGTGACTCTAATATTTTCCTAAAGAAATACTCCGTACTATAAAAACTCTTTTATGTAGATTTTACCAATAAAGTGGATCAATATTGAGGGAAGTTTGATAAATTTCTCAAATTTATTCTCAAGACTCTCAATTGTATTCCTTCAATAAAAATTAGACACGTGTAGTCAACAATAATTATTTTTGAAAAAAAAACAATTACAATTATTTTATAATATGGAGAAAAAATGAATACTCCCCAACTATAAAAAAACTCATCATAAATTATGTCTACTTATATATTTTATATAGTTATAGTTTTTTGTTTTAATTAATATCACTACAAAAAACTGCTGAAATGGCGACGGAATAATTCCGTCGCCAAAGCCTTATTTCCGTAGGTGATCTTCGTTACGACGGAATCCATTCCGTCGCTATTTTTTCGTTAGTAGTGAGTGTGACGACGGATTTTTATTATCCGTCGCTAGGCTACGACGGATGTGGCGACGGAAATTTGCGACGGAACGCACGACGGATACTTTCCGTCGCTATAGCCAACGACGGATTTAGCGATGGAATATGCATTTTGACCATATAGCGACGGAACTGAAATTCCGTCGCTCATTCCGTCGCTAATTTGACAGCTTACCACCTGCAGCCTGCTGTTTTTCCAATTTCGCACCCCTCCATAGCAAAACTCAGAAATCCCAACATCAAACAACAACAATTACTAGAAATAAGGATTACCAAACAACCAAGAATATTCAAATCACCAATAAACAAGTAAAATTCAAATAATATTTATAAAAATTCAACATAACTATCAAATTTAATTCACTTACATATTCATAAAACTTAAGTTTAATATATTGTTCTTCAATTCTAATTAAAAACTCAACAAGCCCCTGTAAATCCCGCCCCTCCTCCATCTCCACCGCCATCTCCATTTCCTCGTGGGAAAACTCCTCCATAAAGTCGGGTCATCTCTTCTCTAATCGATAATAATTCACGCGCTTGTGAAGCTCGAATGTCATCTAGCTCTTCTCTCAACCTCCGAATCTCATCATCTCGAGGGTCCCACATAGAACTGGTGCTAGCCCGTCTGGCCTGACTTGCATGCATTCGTGGTAGGCTCCGTGCGAGATCTCCAACACCATGAACACGATTCTTGGCATCATGTCCTCCAACTGTAGATAGAAAAATGACTAAATTTTGAATAACAAACCCTAACCTTAAATAATTATAAAATTAAAACTAAATTTGTAATTATAAACAAAATATGATATTTTAAAAACCCTAATGTAAACAATACAATTATAATAAAAAAAATAATTCACAAATATAATTTGAATAAGAGATGAAAAGTTGAAAAAAAAAACCTGGGATGAAGAACCGGCGATGACCGGACGGCAAGGAGGACCGGCGGCGGCGATTGATGGTGGAGGGCGGAGACGACGAGCGGACGGCGCGGCGGAGGAGAATCGCCGGCGATTTGGACAGCAGACCAGAGACCTTCGACTCGGCGGCGGACCTTTTATTTCTCTCTGCAAATCGTTGAAACTGGCTAAGGAAGGGTATAGATCTGTTTTTAAGCGACGGAATGTAGCGACGGATATATTCCGTCGCCAAGCCAAAACGCAGCGTTTCAATAAAATTCCGTTCGCGACGGAAATATTCCGTCGCTAAAACTAACGACGCAAATTTCCGTCGGTAAATCCGTCGTCAAAAAAGCCGTGCACAACCTCCCGCCAATACCAAGCGACGGATCTTTATTTCCGTCGTTACTCTTGGTTGGCGTTTTATTCCGTCGCTAAAGCCGTCGCTACTAGCGTCGAACGAAATTCCGTCGCTGCAATCCGTCGTTGTTTTGGCGTTTTCTTGTAGTGTATTTTATGCAATTTTATATTTTATTTTTTAGGAATAAAACACATTCTTTTATGCAATTTTATACGGGGTATTTTAATTTCTATTGGATATAAAACAAAAAAAACACAAGGAGCAAATGTCATGTTATTTTACAATTCAATCATGTTTACTTATGTACTCGTTAAATTCAATTTATTGTGTTTTAAATTTTGTTTTATGCTATTTATATTTTATGTGTGCTTATTTAAATGATTGTAATGAAATGCACTTATTTTATTTGTGTGTTTTAATTTACATAATTTTCTCTACAACTTTATGTTGTTGACTTTATTAATTGTTATTTATATTAATAAATAAATTTGATAGAAAAGATAATTTACAATACAATTTTATACTCCGTATTGTATAACTAATTAAATAGACCTTGCCTTGTTGGGTTTGGTGTGGCCCAACCCAAGTCGTGACCCGGGTGGAATGCACTCATAAGCTAGAATATTAATTGAAATTATATTATTTTATTCAATAAATAACAAAAACAAGCAAAAAATAATAATTAAAACGTAACCATATGAATAATAACATACTCGGGATATATTTTAAATTAATACGAAAAAAGTATATAAAAAATAGTTGTTCAAAAATAGAGTATCATTACTAATTTTCGCCTATAATAGACTCCATCTTTCAAATACTCTGTATTTTTTTCTCTAAATAAGGCATCAATTTCACCAACATCAATGTAAATATGACTAGCAAGTAGCAACTTTGGCAAGTGAGCTTGTAGTATAATGTATTGTTAAATTCACTTCACATCTCGTGAAATTCACCCTATTTAGGAGAATTGACAAATCTATTTTTACATTAAGTTCACATGTTCTCTTTTTCTTTTTAACAAATTTAGAGGTAAATTTGTATATTTGTAACAAATGATGTGGATTAAACCAAATTTGTACATTTGTAACAGATGGTGTGACCTAAACTAAAATTGTTTAAACTTACAATCTTTCCAAGGGTATCACGTACAGATCCCAAAGTCCAAAGGGACACTTTATTATTAATCAAAGGTAATGAACTATTAATGTACAAACATATAAGACAAAAAATTAGGCAAAAGGGAAGCATGCTGTAATCAGTAGCAAACCAATAAAAAGAAGAGGAATTTGACTTTAATTACTCCCGCCATTCCATATTAACGGCCTCATTTTTGATGCATTGGAAAATAAATGAATGCTACATTCATTCTTTTTTCGATGTATCAAAAATATCTTATCAGACCCTTAATAAATAACAACAGTCTAATTAATTAATCAATCAAGGAGGGAAGTTTCTCGCTATTCTCTGCTTCCTTTGGAACGTGGAAGTAGTCCTGAAGAGCAGACATCTGAATGCCATTGGATTTCAAGCTCTTGATTGCCTGTGCAGAAGCCAGTGCTCCGGCAACCGTGGTGATCACCGGAATCTTGTACCCGAGGGCCATCCGCCGCAGCCTCCGCCCGTCAATCTGGTCCAGCGTGTCTCCAGAGCTGGTGATCACGGTCAGCTGAATCTGCCCGTTGGCGATCAGGTCACCCGCGTGGGGCCTGCCCTCGTGCATCTTCAGCACTCTCTCAACCGGGACCCCTTCCATCTCCAGCACGTGCGCGGTCCCGGAAGTCGCCACCAACCGAAACCCGACCCCGAGGAACGCACGGGCTATGGTCACGAGGTGCGGCTTCGTCAGGTCGTTCATGCTGAGGAACAGTGTCCCCGCTAGCGGCAGCCTCTGCCCGGCGGCGATCTGCGCTTTCGCGAAAGCAATCGACGGCTCGGCGTGTATGCCTATGACCTCGCCCGTGCTCCGCATCTCGGGGCCCAGCAGCACGTCGCACCCTTGGAACTTCTCGAACGGGAGGACCGCCTCCTTGACCGACACGTGCCGCGGGATGACCTCGTCGGTGAAGTTGATGTCGCGGAGGGATCTCCCGGACATGACGAGAGACGCGTACTTGGCCAACGGGTGCCCGATCGACTTGGACACGAAGGGAACGGTCCGCGACGCCCGCGGGTTGGCCTCGAGCAGGAAAACGTCGCCCGAGGCCGTGATGGCGTACTGGCAGTTCATGAGCCCGACCACTCCCAACCGCTTTGCTAGCTTCGTGGTCCAAGACTGGATCGTCTCGAGGCACGGCGGCGAAACGGTTTGAGTGGGAAGCATGCAAGCGGAGTCACCGGAGTGGATCCCGGCCTGCTCTATATGCTCCATGATCCCACCAATCACCACGTCGCCGTGTGAGTCAGCTAGCGCGTCGACATCAATCTCTATGGCATCGGATAAGTACTTGTCAATCAGAACCGGGCGGTCGGGGTCCACCTCGACCGCATTCTCAAGGTACTTCACAAGCTTGTCGTCGCTGTAAACAATCTCCATTGCACGACCGCCCAAGACATAAGAAGGCCGGACGACCACCGGATACCCAATATCCGCCGCGATGGAGAGAGCGTCTTCCTCGCTCTTGGCAATCCCCCCTTTTGGTTGCTCGATCTGTAGTTCGTTCAAGATGATGTTAAACCTTTCCCTGTCCTCGGCAGCATCTATGGAGTCGGGCGAGGTGCCCCAGATGCGGACATAGCCATCATCAACACCACTTCTGGACTTGAGTTTGTTTTCATCCAAGTATCGCTCGATGGGAAGTGCAAGTTTCAATGGGGTTTGGCCACCAAACTGGACAATGATGCCGTCGGGTCTTTCCAGGTCAATGACATTGAGGACATCTTCGACTGTGAGGGGTTCAAAGTAGAGACGATCACTCGTGTCATAATCTGTACTCACTGTCTCCGGATTTGAATTCATCATTATTGTTTCGTATCCAGCATCCTGTATGCAA